AAGAAAAAAAATGAGTTGAAGGTGTGGCGGTAGATAATTCTCAAAAGTTATTAGTCTACAACATTCTTCCTTCAACATGGCACAACCTTTACTGTTTAAGTCCCCTCGTTAGGCTGAAGGTACGTGGTCAAGCATCCAAGCCATTTGGCGCTGTTTAGTGCTATGTCCAGTCATTCATGCGCAAACCCCAGCAAGTGAAGCAGCCATCACCGTTCCATATTTCTGATCCCAAAATATATCTCGTATTCTTGACAATCAATCTGTTGCTTTAAATTGTCTTTGGTTTCAAAATAACAAGTACTTTGAGCATTGGAGTGTAGTGAACATTCTAATGTTCAAGACCTGTTTTAACGTATACACGTACAGACTGGCGCCAACGCGATTTCTGTGCTCTCTGCTTATGTAATAGACAGTTACATTCTCTGAGTCGGTTGTACAGCCTTTTAAACTAGGTAAGTTATTACGCCACTTTTCTAGGATTATCTCGATTTCTTATTATATGCAGATATGCTGCTCGAAAGATCACATTACTATTTATCACAGTCTTGTCACCAGTACCTACAAGATAAGTAGAGCACTGATTTATCGAACATCAGGCAAACTTCATTTAGAAGAGTTGGCATAGTTTAGCTTATCTACAGCACTACCAGCACCCTACAGGGGGATAAACACTCTCATTTGCATAGAGTATATCTTGCGTGACGATCGAAATTCTTCATCACCAAAAAGAATATCACTTTTATCATGACAGTGACAAATATTCCACATCCTAATTAGGCATAAAAGAAACTCTGACGTTCTCGTCTAAAGAGATAGTGTTCACAGGCTGCTCTATCCAGTTTAAGATAGTCCACTTAGGGCTCTAGGCAGAAATGATAATGTCATCACAACAGGAAGAATGAACAGAAAGCACAGTCAGTACTACTAGAGTAAAACCAAATGCTTCAGGAAATGAATGTAAACCCCTGAAATACGGAATTTCACTCTGTCAACCTAGAGTTTTCAGCGTCTCTAGAAGAATTGTGAGGATAACTCCATGGTATCGGAGTGTCTGGTGGCCTCTAATTTGCGCTCGAATAATCACTGTATAAATATTTTTCCCCGATATAACCACTGAGTCGTTCAGTCAAGTTATGGCTATTTTTTCTCGCACAAAAGCTTAGTACATGAACATTTCCCACGCATTATTCGTAACATCATTCAGTGTTTGCTATTCACATATCCTTTTTCTAAAATCTAAGGATTGTAGGGGATCAAGAATTTAGACAAATCAGCCGAACCTTCATCGATCAAATTGTTTACATATGCACACTGAAAAACAGGGTGGATTATTTGAATTTAAAAGGGCAACAACTCTTCTGATTCACTTTGGTGTAATTCTGTTTGTCTAAAGTCTCCTTAAATCATCGTCAATGAATACGTCTTTCGTCAGCCGTAAGTGACATATTCGCCTTTTGTTAGCTGGGGTGGTGTTAAGAGCAGCCTGGCCATCAGGTTAGGTGGGCCAGGCAAAAGAGTAAACAGGTAGTGTGTGCGCTCGGGTCTAGCAGGATTGATAGCCACACATCAGTCGTGAGAGTCATTTCTAGTTGTGACCAACTGGATGCGAGCTCGAAATCATTCAAGCAGCCCGACTTGTTGTCTTCCAAAAGGATCTCCAGTTAATGTTCACCATTTCTATGACTTGGGAACATTTATTTCCTGATACGAATTTAAAATGAGCAATAGAGTTTAACAAAGCAGGATTTAATGAATTAATCAAGTTTTGATAGAACTTTTCATCTGAATACTCTATATACGGGTATATGTATAAATATATATACTATTAGAAATACATAGGGAGATGTAAAACTTATAAGCGAATAAACTACATCGAATTAATCACGCAAAACGACAGGTGTGATTGTTTTTCAGGTCATGTACTGATAAATAAGAGGAAGGGGGTATGACAGACTAAAATTAAGATAAAATGAATTGTGCTTCAATCACATCACTTAGATAAACAATTAGTCATCAGATAATACATCAACAATTGCGAACTGAGTAACAGTAGTAATGTTGAAACGAGTTAGGATACTGCTACTGATAAAAGATGGTTTTAAATGAATCAGCAGTAATAACAAGAGGTAGAATAAAGTGTTAATAATACTAATAATAGTAATAATAAGAGCTAATAAGTAAAACGTATTACCATGGCGGATTCAGAGTGACGGCCATTTCCTTTTGTACACAGAGACCTGGTTTATAAACTCTAATTGCACAAGCCTCAGCAATAGCAAGCATCTTCCCATTTCTTTGTCTGCTAAGAACAGTGAATGACTTGACAGCATCGATATCATATCCGTAGTCCACAAGGTGCTTTGTTATTGGGCATTTTGGCACTTCGACTGCTTTTTTTCAACCATTTCGGAAAATGCCTCATCTTGCAGGTAGATAACCGCCTTTCTGAGACCTGTGTATTTAATCCCACAAACACACTCAGAATGATATACGCAGTTTGAAATTTCGAGGATTTTCTATTGTGGTGAGAGCTGGCTGCTAGCCAAAGTGGGTAGACAGTAATTGACGTCAATGTTTATGTGGTGGTGAGAAATGAGAACAAAGGCTTTGCGTAGGCGGATACAGTTAGCATATGGATGATCTGACACAGCTACAAAGAGATGCAAGGTTAACTTTCTGTGAGAAACAACCAATCAAAAGACTGTATTTTCTACTAACAATAATCTACAATAATGTACATTAAAATCTATAAATATATGTTGATTTTCCTTAATAAACAATCTGTTGACTGGCCCTTGTCTTCTGTTGCTGCACTATTACTGTTGCTACCACTTTTATCATTATTACCACAACCATGTAAACGATGACGGTTCGTTAATTTTTCTAATCTCTGTGAAGAGAAGTGAATAAATCTTATAAGTTTTTACATAAAGCCACTACTACGTGGTACAACCATGCCTAATTCACAACCAGGTCAGAAGAACAATGAAAATGGGAAATGCTTTGGCTTGGGGCTGGCAACTACATATCGAAAAACAACACAACCTCTAAGAAAGTTTCTAAATCCAGACAACGCGAAAAATATAATTACCCTCATGTGGAATCTAGGAGAACCAATAACTCATGCCGGTGAAAGCCTTCAGTAAGCCAGTCAATGGATGTTTTCTCCCAAAGAAAGTAAAATGAGGCAGGGACATACAATGTTTTCATCATGTCCGAGACCGACACGCCTTTTCAGACTGTGAGAGAACTCAGGAAGTATTGAACAGAAGATTTAGGAATCTGTGAAAACAGATAGAATGGGAGTAAACTGTCCGGAAAATCAATTGGAGAGTCGATGATCCACTCCAGTCATCCAAACGACAACCACAAGCACACCGATGATATGTTTTGTTATTATGATGTTACCAACAACGTTGAAGGCTCTCATGCAGTGAGAGACAACCTCCTTCAGGACCATGAAGGCAAAGTTTGACTTCAAAGGAAGAACATTTACAATTATTCGAAGCTACGCTCCTACAAATAACGCAGAATAAGCGGAGAAGAAGGGGTCTTCTACAAACAATTGGGAAATAGTAATGGATAAGACCTGAGCCAGATGATGACATCAAAGTTCTAATTACTGATGTGAATACCAGTAGGAGAGGAGGCAACAAAGGAACCAAACTCTTAGCAGACCTCCATTTCTTTTATGAGTTGGTCACTGTACACGGCGTGTGAAAGCACATGGATAGATACAAGACGGGATGATTTTCAAAAGATTGACACACTAAATGTCCAGTAGATCCCAACCTGAAGAAAGTGAGAACGCACTCTAGTAGACACAAAATTCGGTCGACGAGCAGTTGCTTTTTTAGACCACCATGTTTTCCAAGGATTCCTCAAGATCAATGTCAATGGACTGAAAATATCAGGAGGTAGGCCACAGTTCAAGTTCAACACTCAGAAACTGAAGGACGAAGCTACAAATTGCATTTTCACGATGGTTAACTGAAAGCTGCGGAGAGATTATGGAACGGTGTCCAAGATACCAACTTGGTGAAATGCTGGCACACAACTACCAAAGGGTTGGAAGGAAGGAAATATTGGGTCGATCACTTTGAAATTTCTTGAATTCACCAACACTTGCATCTTGTCTACAACGGCATGAACACATTCAGATTTACCGATGAACACCACTACTCCATGAAACTGGGAAGTGGATAATTGAGATCTAGTAAAACAGCAAGACCATGTGGTATTAGAGGTGTAGCTCTGATATAGGGGGTCGTACATCTTAGGAAATACGCTGGCCGCACTGTTGCAGAAGGCGAAGATAGTAGAAGAGATCCCGATGGATTGGAAGAAAGACTTCCTTGTCAAGTCGCTAAAGAATAGGGACGTATTTTATCCACTAAATCTCGCAGCTTATTGTTTCTGTCCACCCAAGCATTTTATTAGACCACATCACTGTAGAAAGACTAAAGCGTGGGCGATTCTGCCCGGAACTGGCTGAATCCAATAGAGAGATCATGTGGGGACCACTTTGCAACACTGGGCATCATCATCGAACTGATCCCAGCAAATACGCCTATGAAAGTGGAGGTACACTGACCATACACTGAACTGAACTACGAGTGAAATCATACGTCTGGCCATCGGAGGGAACTAGAGAGAGAAACAGCAAGTCAGAATTCCAAGCTCAAAGTGAAAGAGATCATGTGAAGAGGAACTAAAAGCTTGTGATCAGTTAGAGAGCCAGATGAAAATTGTCTTGTGGGTGGTTTATAGCAATAATATATGGTGTTTACTGCCACCTACTCAAGCTTCCTGAGGAATATCAGAACAGGGACTGAACCACGTTTTTCTAGAATTTTTTTATCACATAATGCCAAAATAATGAAATCCCCATAAACAAATGATTCCATCCACCTTCTATCCTTCCTTTATGGAAGACAATTGTTAAGAGTATCACCGTAATTTCACGGGCCAGAAAAACTATTTGCCTTTCGGTATATTACTTTTTTCTCTCGAAAACTTACAGAAGATCCTAGTTGGCATTGGTTATTAAGCGGCGCGCAATACAGTGATTTGCGTTACTTCAATGGAAAAGTAAGTAAGACAGTTTGTCTTTGTTGTGGATTTCTGCTACTGACTTTGCTGCAAAGTATTCTGTCATACATCAAGTCACAATGCTTGAGTAGATAACCGCATGATAAATGTAGTCGTACTTGCAGAAGGCTCATTTAGAATCAATTTGTTCCTGTCAAAAGCAATGCTCGTGAGAAACTATGCATATATTTGCTGCAAAATTTCATTAGGATGGGTTAGCGATATGACTGGCTGGTTGAAAGTTATTTGGTTGTAGTGTCTATTCTATATAGTTACCATGGATATACTAATGAAAGTTCTGTTATGTAAACCCAGCTGATAAAAGCTCGCCTATCTGCAGACATTTCGGACAGAAATGCTACATTAGGTATTAGTCCCATTAGGACAAAAATGGTTGCAGAATGGCTGTGTAATGGTCTAAGTGAGCACGATTTTTTCAAATTATAAGAGGTATTATAATGGGCAAATCGTGGTTAAATAACGTAGGTTAAATAGTGATCAAAATGATAAACATTGTTGTAATTTGGTCAAATGATATAATGCCGGAATCCGTGTATTTTTTCTTACTATTGCCTGTGTCCATTATTCACATATTTTTTACCATTTTTGTCCTACTTTGGTATTATTTGTGTGAATTAGTTACTCATAACAACGTTGGGTATGCCTAAGGTTTCGGTAACACTGACATCTAGAGTGAGAAAGATGAAGACGAACCATTTTTAAAGAATGGTTGATATGTACAAAGGTTGGCAAAGTTAAACAATGACGTCCCAAGGAATGCAAACGCACAAGTGACCTTAAGCTGACGAACTATAAAAATAAGTGGTTTTTGCACAAAAAATGACGTTTCTTTTTACAAGAAAATGCATGAAAGTACATTAAACAGGGTATCTTACTCTGACATAACTTAAAAATGCGTCCCAGTTATAATGAGTACCAGCTTTTAAGTTAGACCAGTTTCTGTACATGTATTTGCCGAGGTGACTTAATGTGAGTTTTTTTGTGACCCGTTTATCGCTCTTATCCTGTTTTTCAGTGTTCCCCAAAAGCCCAAGGTTGAATTACTATGGTTTCCAGTAAGACGATTGACGACTACTTCCTGGGAAAACGTGGATAGTAAAACAAATTAAAGTAAATAATACCAACTTTAAATCTATCCCTAACTGTAATCCTAACCCTAATGAGCTGTTAACACATTGGGTGAAATTTGCTCCTTAGTTGGTGAATAGCGTTCATATTTGTGATGTGATAATGACAGGTGTCGTTAGCCAACGACTAGCATGCGTTCAAGGTCCCCTGGGGGTTTGCATCCCTGGGACGCTACTGTTTAACTTCGTCCAAATGTCCAGTACTGTCGACGTATTACTGATGTCAAAACTTGGAGCGACTGGTTAACCGCTTCTTTCTTCATATTTTACCCAATCCCTTCATTTTGTAAGGCCATGCTAGTCTGAAAGTAGTGGAAAAGAAAGTTGTTCACATGTGAGACTCGGTTTTCACGATTTTTGATCCTATCTCTTTAGCCTGTCATGGTTGTTATGAGGCAGGTACTGAATGCAGGTGATTTGTGGAAACTACAATCGACGTTCGTTTCGTTTACTTCGGCTATCTCCTACGGGAGGATGAGCAGGCTTCATGAATATCTCGAATCATCGCTGCCCAGGCGCGGCGATCTGATGAAGAGAGTTCATGAAGTTTCATGGGAATTTGGTACGAGTGATGTCCCCAGAATCGCTCGGCCTTTTGTTCGAGAGTGCAGCTCTAGCCTTTACACAACCAAGTGTGACCTACAAGGCAGTAGGAGTGGAGTAGGGAGTCCACTATCCATTGGCAGCCGGTGACCGGAGTTCGGTTCATACGCCTTTTTGAATGGGGCCAGACATCCAGGACATCCAACAAGCCATTTGTCCATACGTCTGCCGGTGAGCTCCAGTGAGCTTCATACACCAGTCGTTGGAGGTTTGGAATCAGGGTTTAGCCATCTCCCCTAGACTGTCATCCAATGGACAGTCAACCCGGTGAAGAGCGCCGGGCATCCGCTTTCGCCCTCTCACTTTGGTGAAAAACACCTCCGCTACGTGAAGGCAGTGAGTAGGACTTCCTCAGGAGAGGCTATGTAAGACGCCCGGTCATATGGGAGCATTTCAAGAGGTGTGCGGAGGGGTGGCCAACCCGCAGTGCAAGGCACCCACTCCCGACCATCCTGAGGCTTTGGAGGTATGATAAGTAATATCAACTTATGTGTGACGAGATTAAATATTATCTGCAATGGTATCTTGTTCGTTGTAGATGACCGTGAAAATAATGCTATAAATCTCAGCCAATAAGGTATTCTTTATCCGACGAACAACAGTTCTTATGTTACAATCCACCGACGTTGTTATGTCATTGTCAGTATTATGACGTAAATATCAGGCGGATAGCCAAACTAGCACTACAGTCGGTACTATTCTTCAGGTTAGTGAGTCATCTTCACTTCACTCAGTGACCACAAACAACGTTGAGAGCCATAGAAACACCTCTGATAGCCTCTTAGAGCCACGTCGCCAATTTCATATAGGAGCATTCAACGTCAAGACCCTCTGCCAAATCGGACAACAGGCATCACTAGCAAGAGCTCTGGCATCTCGAGCCATGGATGTATGTTGTGTTTCGGAGACACGCATACAGGACCCGAGTGTGGTCATTCTTTTAACCTCACCCAACCAACAAGGTGAATCTGCAAAATTCACTTTAAGGATGTCAGGAGACTCCTCAGCTAGTTCGTGAGGAATCGCAGGTGTATGGATAGCATCGAGTGTTAGGCCGGAAAAACCACTTCTTGACTGGATCCCAATATGTGTGCGGTCCGTCGTCCGTAGAAGAAGGAAGGACAGTGTTACGCGTCACTGCCTTTTCATAGTCTCCGCTTGCGCCCAACAGACTGTAGTTCGGATGATGTAAATGATGATTTCTACCAGAAACTTTTTAGTTTGCTGCAGAAAGCAAACTGCTCGGATATAGTTGTTTTAGCAGGAGACTTCAACGCCCAAGTAGGAAAGTTATGCCGGAGGGAAAAGTATGTAGGTGGTACGTCCAGAGTCCCCTGCCGACGAACCGACAGCGGTGATCGTCTTCTACAGTTCTGTTCAGATAATCATCTGTGGTCAGCACTAACTTTAGGCACAAATAGAGACACTGCCTAACCTGGTGAACTCCACCAAATCAACATTAGACTCAAATAGACCACATAGCGTTAGGGTATCGTTGGCGAGGGTCAGTAGGAGACTGCAGCTCCTTCTGGGACACTTGCGTAGACTCCGATCAAGCGCTGGTTCGTGCACATTTATGCTTACGAATAAACAGAAATAAAAAAATCTGTTGTCAGCGAAGCGATTATGCCACCAACTTCATCAGGACACTGAGTCCCTATTTAAGTAAGAACTAGTGAAACGAGTATCTGAGGCTGACAGTAAGACTCTTCCTGAGGAAGCCTGGCACAACATGCAGTTAGCTGTAGACACAGCTGTAAAGGCTGTTAATAACCTAAAACCAAAAGTTAGTAAGAGCCATTGGATTTCTACTACCTCATCCGAACTGATGGACTCAAGAAAAAGTCCTCCGTCCCTAACTGATGTTACAAAAGCCGTTGCTAGTCGGAAGCCATGCAAAGCAGCGGGACCTAATGGAATGACTCCAGAGGTGTTTAAGGACGGTGGAGACAGTTTACTGTCTGCGTTAACTAAGGTATTAGGTAGCGTCTAGGAGTCAGAGATAGTCCCGTCGGTTTGATGTAAGTCATTGATTATTCCGATATACAAGAAGGGAGACAAGTCTTCCTGTGATAATCACAGGGGGACTAGCTTGACTTATATGGTTCTAGGCTCAGTAATCATACGAAGACTAAGTGGCGATCGGGAGGAACAAACACGAGAGAACCAGACAGGCTTTAAACCAGGAGGAGGGTGTATTGATGATACATTTACCCTTCGACAGATTCTGGAACATAGACATACTTACCGGCGTCCAACAATCGTCATATTTCTTGACCTAAAAGCAGCATTTGATTCCGTCAACTGAGAGGTACTATGGCGATGTTTGGCTGTGAAGGGAATGCTGAGGAACTACATCGCACCAAGGCGCTTTACTCGAACTCATGCAGTCAGGTAAGAACCTACCGAGAGTTGTCACCTGAATTGGTGACAACCAGTAGTGTCTGTCAGGGGTGCTCACTGTCCCCATTTCTGTTTAATTTCATCATAGATATACCAAAGGTCGTAACCCTAACTGACTTCAGCGACCCAGGGATTGACTTGTTACCATCAGGGAATAACCTCGTTAACTTGGAATATGCAAATGAAGGTGAAGACGCTGACAAAATGCAGAGTCTTCTAAACACATTGAGTGAACAGCATTCTTCGAATGTTTGGCATGAGATTCTCTCTTGTCAAATGTAAGATGATGATACGGGACTGAACTACATTGACTCCTAGCTTGAAGATAGGAAGTGAATTGGTAGACCGTGTTGACCACTTCACTTATTTGGGGAGTTGCATCAGCGGTGCCAGCGGGTTGATCGCTGACGAAGTCTCAGCACGGATACAGAAGGCTCCTTCCGCATATGCCAACTTACGCCATCTCTGGAGTAGACGTGATATCCGGCTGTCTATCGATGAAAGGGCGTGTGCACTTCTGAGCAGTTCGCTCTGTCCTCCTTTATGGCTGTGAGACATGACCATTGAAAGTGGAAGACATGAAAAGCCTAGCTAGCTGTCTTTGATTATAGATGCCTGCGTTCTATCTCCCGTGTGAAGTGGTATAATAAGGTGAGCAATATTGAGGTTAGGCATCGGTAAGGAGGGGGAAATCAATCGACGAGGTTGTGAAGTTACATCAATTGAGATAGTTAGGACATGTGTTACGTATGCCTAGCCATCGCCTTCCTCGACGATCTATGTTAGCTGACATAGGATCAGATTGGAAAAGAACTACTGGTGGTCAAACCAAAACATGCCATCAGTCCATGAAATCTTTGACAGTTAGTTTGAGCCACGTAGGGAGGTGTAGACCGCTTCTTTGGGATCTTCAGGATCTTAAGAACCAGTGACTAGAGACTTCCTGGTTGGGGTCCTTTGGATAGTAAAAACCAATGACTGGAGACAATTGGTGATGATATAGCTCAAAATCGTTCTCAATGGCGCAGATGCATCCACTCCTTGTGACTTATAATACCCAATAAACTTCGATATTACTATTCCTTTTGCCTCATACTCCTGTTCATTATCTCTCTTTTGAATCTCTATTTACTCTATTCTCTTGCTCTGTGGGCTACAAGGAGAGAGTGTGGCAACTCGAACTGCTGCACATCTGTGAAAATTTCCACGTTGGAACCAGTCAGTCAATCTACTAAAAAAAGTTATGGTTATGTATTGGTTAGAATCGTCAATAGAATATGGGGAGCACAGGAGCATAAAATTATTGTGAACGATAGAAAAAACAAAACCATGTCTTCCTACTAAGGCGAAATGAATCTGTTAAATAATGATTTTACTAAAACATCAGATATTAAAGTTGTAATATGGGCTAGCGGTGGAATCCAGAGTGTGCATTTCTTCCTATACGGGACTCATCATCTGAGTGTAGAACAAAATGTACATCCCAGATTCCATTGCTAGATATCATAAACCAAGTGATATCATGTTAACTCTCAGAAGTTTTCTAGGTGTCTCTACCGACAATCGACAGAGACTGTACATTTTGGTTCAGTTTAAGTCAATCAGCGGGAGACATAAAAGAATTTAGAAAAACAACCAATGAAATGACGCTATAAACCATCCGAATTATCATGCTTCCGTTTTATATACTATGCCGTTATTTTATTTATAGTGCGATCCATATTTCCTGTATTCATTGATTCTGATGGATGGTTGCCACTTTACAATTTTATCTATGAAACATATAACTGCTGAAGGATTGATATTTGCTGCTTCTGCTGTTCAGTAGTGGTGTTATGGTACTTTCTTTACAAATTTTACTCAGCATTTATAACATGCCTTGACTTGAACATTCAAAACCCCTGTCATACTTACATTTTGAAGTTACTGTGCCCTTAATGTACTGCAAACCGTCTTTTGTGGAAGTATTTCGTAGCATTCAGGTAATGTATTAGTTACTTTCATAGCAGTTATATCTCATTTGGAAATTTTTATACATTTAAGGTAATTCTTTGTAACTGGTTTATTATTATTTTTTTCTAATGGGTTATATTATTTAGCAAATAAGTGGATAAATTTCATATCATGGAGAAACGTGAAGGTGTTAGGCGTCCTTTAGATGATGCAGCTAAAGAAAGAAGACAAAAGAAAACACTAAGCTTGTTAGAACAAGATAACCATATTGAAGAACCACATACCGATGTGAAAGGCACTAAAAAGCCTCAATTCGGAGATGAGGTTTGTTAAACTGTTTCTTGTCAAGTTACTAATTTTTTTTGTCATATAGGATGATGACATTTCAGCGAAGCGCCGTAAAAAAAAGCGTATATCAAATATGCGTTCGCGTTGTAGGAAAACATTTGAAATTTTACTAGATGAAGAATACCAAGCAACAAAAGGAGGAGCTACGGGTGCTTGTTATTTTACTGCTGCTGCCCCTTCTACAAAGCTGCCTATCCGGAAGTTTTGTAATGTTTGTGGTTTTAAAGGACTGTATAATTGTATGATATGTAGTTTACCATATTGTAGCAGAAAGTGTTTTGAAATACATTCAGATACGCGGTGTATGAAATGGGTTGCCTAAACCTACTATACATATAACCGCTGTAAGAAGTAATTGTATATATCTTTTTGAACTCTTGCACTTAATTCCTTCAAGATATTCACTACTTTTGTACACCTCCACTGCATTCCTTACTTTTAAATTGTATATTTATTTCGCTTGTAAAGTCCTTTAAGTATAAAGTTTTGTGCTTGGTAATTGTGCAGTTTTACTATTCATTCTTCTGTATATTCTTTATCCTTCAAATAATATTTCTTAATTACAAATTTCTCATTTACCCATGAAGCAGTTTAAACAAGAATTGTTATCTCGTGAACCTAAAGGCAAGTAATCAAAGAGGACAGTACTGTTCGCTGTTGTTAGCAGTAAGAAAAAGATAGGAGTCGAAGTTAAATAACTGTATTCTGTTATCTGCACGGAGTGTAAATCAAACCTCTTGTGTAATAATGAATTATTCAAACACCGAAATATTATTCAGCAATGAAGGTTTCTAAAGTTGTAGTGTATACATTCCTAACTGTAATTCAGTGGCAATATATTTTTAAAGTTACATATAAATGTAACCAACAATACTAGCGAGTCAGGTACCAAACATTGAGATTAATACATAAGTCAACACTATGCTTGTGAATGGAATAACAAGATCTTGCATTTTAAGGCAATCGTATTTCTAGTCTTTGACAGAATGTCTGTTTTCAGTTGATGAACTAAACTGTCGTGAAACAACATTTAAAGGTTTTTAACTATTCAAATCTGAGCTTATTGACATTGTTCACTTATAGGCATGTAAAGAATACTAGACGGGATTTACTTTCATGACTTATTTAGAAATAAATGTGGAGAAGAATAAGCTTTAAATGTCAGCGAGCACGAATAGTTACCGAATCCTCCAAGATATCGCACAATATGAGCAAGTAAACAGTCTTAAATCGAAAATTTTGAATTGTTGCGTTTTATCCAGTTCCTACATCAATTATTCAAAATGTCCTACTGTCGGTAAGGCTGAAATCAAGAAGTGTTGTGGGGCAGTGAAATTAAAGTTAGATCAAGAAAAAAACGACTGGAAACCAGGGGGCACTGAAAAGCTGCTTCTTCCCAGTTTGGGACTCTTCATGAGTATACACCCATGAACCCACTGGGCATCGGACTCAGGACCTTAAGGTTCTAACTGGTTTTCTAACTGAAGTCACTTTTTAATATAACTTGAAACCAATCGAATCCGTAAAAACCAATAACCTAAAAACAATGAAATGATTTCTAAAAATTTCGAAATCATCTTGATATTGTTCTGCATCCAGAACGTCATACAACACATAATTCTAATGCCATTGTAGTGTGTCACATTGAATGAATAAATAAGCTGAACATCTACTCAGCAATGTCTAAGTCTTGTGACTATGCTACAGTGACCAAAAACTGTGAATTAAGTACTGCTGTTGTTGATAGTCACTCCATTTGATAAAGAATATTTTGTTAGAAATTGAAGTGTTCTTATGCTTTTTAGTTCTCCATTCGATTTCAACTTCTTAAGAAGTCTAGAAAAAACAAAAAAATTGAGCAAAGAATATCCTTTTCGACAATTTCCTCTCATGGTTCTACAATTATGTATATGTTTATATACATAGAATGTTCTAGAATAGTAGTCGATAACAATATTGGTGTTTTTTAAATACTATCGATTTGTTAAATAAGATCAATGGAGTTACAGTTCATTAAAGACGCATAAATTATGAAAATATAATAGCAAATGGAATTTCAAATAAAATTAAGGAAATTTCTCCAAGAAATTGAGGATCATTAAAACCTTGATGGCCAAGGTAAGGATAGTGTCTGAACCAACTTCTTTTAGATACACAAGTTAGGTTCCTCAATGTGGACTCCCACAGTTAGCCTCAGCAATATGTACTAGACGAACTCTTAAGGTGAAATGTACATTAGTTGGTAAGTGGTAGATGACTTTAAAAGCCTTGTTAATATCAGTCTTGTGTTCTGTATCCAAAAGATGAGATAGTATAGAACTATGAATGGATTTTGTTTGTCCATTACTTAACCAAGCAGGATGGTGTTTGGAAATCCGATGCTAAACACGCCTAATTGTAAGGCCTACGGAGCTGGCTCCACAGGAGCAGTAAAATTGGTAGATACGCATAGAAGAGGCGAAATTAGGCAGTTTATCTTTTACTATCGAAAGCAAAATAAGGGTGGTTTTGAAGACACAGCGTAATTCAGCAGCATGGAATGCTCTTTTTACCGCATTCCTAAGGCATTGTGTTAATATCTCGCTGATGTTATCCCCGAGGAACTGAATTTGTAAGAATAAGGCATTTTTCGGAACTATTGGTACCTTTGGCTGCCTTGATTTTTGATTCATATTCTTATCAATGAATTTTTCTGGATAACCGTTTTCACTCTGCAACTGTTTAATAGTATTAAGTTCTTCATCAAGACATTTATCAGAGCAGATTGCTCTTGCTCTATGGACCAAGCACTTTGTCAGTTTGCGTTTGTATTTCAAGGGCACGAAGCTGAAAAAATGAGCATACTGACCAGTTGATGCAGGTTTTCTACATACACTTCTTATTGTGCCATCCTCTTTTCTGGTCATAAGGACGTCTAGAAATGAAAAACTAGTCTTTTTCTTTCTCAATGGTAAGATTTATTGCAGGGTGAACATCGTTAAATTTGTCCAGGATGTTCTTTGCTTCATCCTCATTTTTCATAATCAAAAATGCATCATCCATGTACCGACAGTAGAATTCTAGTTCATCAATTACGTCTTTCAAAGGACCATTCTCTAGTTTCGCAAGGAAAATGTCGGCTAGAATGGGTCCTAGTGGTGACCCCATTGCCACACCATCGATTTGTCTGTATAGTTCCTTATTAAATAAAAAGTGAACATCGATGTTTCGTCTAATGAGTTCTTCACATACGAAGTCTACTGTTTCCATAAGTGGTGCATTGGTGAACAAGGAAGATACGTCGAATGATATCATGAATTTATTGTCAACATTTAAATCTTTTATCCTTTCAAGAAATCCAAAATTATCCTTTACGCTGTTTCACCAATTCGGTATGCAGAGGCTACGGCATGGTATGGTGAGTTTAACATATCTAATACTGGTCGAAGTGGTACACCATTTTTGTGCACGTTAGGCGAACCATATAATCTTGGTGTGAACGTTCCAGTGAGTTTCAGTGATGTATACTGACTTTATGAGATAAAGCCTTGTTGTTTCAGTCTTCTCAATGTTTCCGCTAACTGTTTCTCTATCTTTTCAATCGGTTCCAGAGAAGATGACATTTTTTGGAATTTTAGATTGTCATTAAGAATAGTATTCATCTTCTCGAAGTAATCTGCTTTGTTCATAATAACCACTCCTGAACCCTTATCCGATCTTGTCATTACTATATTATCACTTTTTCGGAGAATATCTAGGAGATTTTAATGTGATCACATAGTTATGCGACATGAAAGTTGGTTAACAATGATCAATAGGTAAGGTGTATCAACAGTTTAACAGAGCTCCATGCTTACACAAATCACTACAGAGCAAACTTACACTAGGCAGTTTGACATATACTCCACAGTTGGTTTATTAGTTTCACGACTGATGTGAAAAATTGCCTCTCGTAACTGAAAAATAACTTTCCCACCGAAAATACTGATTTAATGGTGTATGTTTTGGCATATGGGAATAGATTTCTTCATTTCCTGCTATGGATGATATGATCATAGTCAGAGGTAAGTTCCTACTGATAATTTCAAAAGGATTTTTACAGGAATCTAGCACATGCTGAATATAAAATGCATACAACCTAGTCATCACTGAGTGAATTGTAATTAATTTTTTGTTTAAATCTACTCTCAGCATAAATGAGTAAGCACATATGAGCTTTTGACTGTCTGTAACAACGAAATCGAAATTTCTGCCACACAGAAAGGATAGACATTTGTTTACTTAGTAGATTATGGTGCTTTATTAGGGCAGGGACTGGTGATGATTTAGCAGACATAATGTATCTACCAACTTTTTAAAATTATGCTATTTACTGGAGACAATTAACCTGTTCTAGGTTTTAGTAATGATAGTAATAGCTTTATTCTGAAAGTTATGCCTCCAAATAATGCAGAATTCTAAGGGTAATTTGTTACAAAATATCACTCTGCATTGAGAATCTTCAAATAAAATATTTATCGACAGTGTATTGTACGATGCCATGTCGTTCTATCTGAAACAAGACTCAGTCCTCTACTACATTTTTCCTTCATTTCCCTCTTGAAGCACACAACGGTAGGTTGGGAGTCAATCGAAAGTTTTTATGAGTTCACGTTGCGATCCAAAGATATCATCTGAAGATTAAACCAACAAAGAAACTGAAAAGAGTAGATGCATTATGCTTGATGGAAACTTAGGTAGTCCAGTGGTTTAAGCAGGTTGCCAGTCAGCTTTAGACGAGATTTTGTGATTATAAACATAGTCAAATCTGGAATTCCCTGAAACTTTCCTCACAGTACTCTTAATCACTTTGGACCAAACCATTGACTTTAACTTCCAAAAGATTTTGTTAACCATCCATACTACTTAAACATTATTTAGTAGTATATGAATTCTACAAACAAAGTCTAACTGAAATGTACCAAAACATTTTGAAGACAGATTATTGCTTTATACGAGTATTTATAAGGAATTATAAAGTTGCACTAAAACTTCTAGGTCTCATGAAAAAATACAAGCAAAAACAATTCTTGAATATTTAGACCTAAGTAACTACTGCCTCAAAACTACGGAGTGCCCCAAAACATTATCAACCCCATTAAGCAGCTTTGTAATGATGTCTCATGTCAAGTGAGTCACAACGAAAAACTCGTCAAAGACTTTGAAGTGAAGACAGGAGTAAGAACTGAATTGACCACCTGACTGTCTCTTGCTCACTACTGACAAGACAAGTCAATCTAACCTGGCAGCCGTTTCTCATAAGGTGTTACGTTTTTCAGTTTAATTGTTTCGGAATGTTTGGGATTTTGACTGTCATGGTGTGGGCTGTAGTCTTACCGATGATTCCAGTTGAGGCATTGCTTGGTCGTGAAGAGTTCGAGGTGGAGACACGTGTATGTTGAATTGATAGTGGATTGGACTGTGTTGTGTTGTATTGTATTGTATTGTATTGTATTGTATTGTCTTCGCGTGTGTTCCTTTAGCAGTAAATTTTGTGGGTGATCTCGTATCGACCATGTGGTGAGT